TTAACGTCCACCTGAACAGAGCGCAGACAGGAGCTCGGCTTAACTTCTCATCTGAAGAATGACATCTCGTACAATGCAGGGCCTCCCTCGATACTGCCCCGCCCTGCACTGCCACCCCTTCCTATTTTCAGGTCTCGGTTGAAGACCTTTCTTTTCGACCGCGCCTTTGATCACCTTGGCCCCCCCCCCCCTCCCACCCCCCGGCTCGGCCCCGGGATCCGTTACTGTGAAGCGCTCTGAGACGCCGTCCGGCGTGGAGGGCGCTATATAAATCCAAGTTGTTGTTGTGTTCACAAGCTGGACACACTGTAATTAGGAACATATTTGGCATTGGGAGAGGTTTGTTTGTAGTGGTTTGGGATCGGGCCAGATATTCTGCACGCACAATTTTTCTCAACATTTTGGAAGACAGCAAACTCTGTCGAGTCGTTAACTCCAGTCTAAACCTGTGTTGTTTTTTTCTGTCTCAAAGAACCTGTGGAAAACAATAGAGGTTTCAAAAATCAAGACTGGATTTGAGAATTTGACAGAAATTTTCCTCTCATTGTAACGTTAGGAGAGAAGAACTTCAGTTTCCCAACAAACACATGACAAACAGCAAAAATACCACGGTTTGAATTACACCCCAATCCCAAAGCACTGATTAAAGCTGCAATTCGTGCATTTCACAGAATCTCACAATCAGCTGCTGTTTATCTGGCATTTTTTGCTTGAAATGAATTTCATGGGGAAATTCTCAGCTCTTTGCGCAGTGTAGAGTGAGCTTTACTGTGTGTCTAACCCTGATCTGGGTGTGGAGGCACAGTGTAGAGGAGCTTTACTGTGTCTCTAACCCTGATCTGGGAGTGTGGACGCACAGTGTAGAGAGAGCTTTACTGTGTCTCTAACCCTGACCTGGGAGTGTGGACGCACAGTGTAGAGAGAGCTTTACTGTGTCTCTAACCCTGACCTGGGAGTGTGGACACACAGTGTAGAGGAGCTTTACTGTGTCTCTAACCCTGATCTGGGATTGTGGACACACAGTGTAGAGGAGCTTTACTGTGTCTCTAACCCTGATCTGGGTGTGGACGCACAGTGTAGAGGAGCTTTACTGTGTCTCTAACCCTGATCTGGGAGTGTGGACGCACAGTGTAGAGGAGCTTTACTGTGTCTCTAACCCTGATCTGGGGGTGTGGACGCACAGTGTAGAGAGAGCTTTACTCTGCCTCTAACCCATGTTGTCTAGGACATGGTAGTGTTGGGTGCTTGTGAGATGAGAATGGATCCTCGATGGGTTAAACCCGAGGCCAGGTGGAGCAAGTCAGAGACAAGGAGCAGCCCAGTGCTGAGACAAACTGGGACCATTTAACACATGTCCATTCTTCTTTCTCTTCACCCAAGCTCAGGCTTGGGCTAAATATAAGTGTGAATGATCACCACAGACTTTCTGGTGGGGTGTAATTGGTACTTTCAGACCAGGGATCAGATTGTTTTTAAAAACCACAGTTCAGTTTTGCTGGTTATGAACTTGAGATCATTCGCTTCACTTCACCGCTGGTTTTGTGGGGCTTTGCTGGGCACAAAGTGTCTGCCACGTTTGTCCATAAATACACTTGACAGCAATTACCTAAGAAGCTCTTTACAACAATAATAATAGTCCTTACGCTTGATACAACGACTTTCATGTCAGGAGGATGTCTCAAAGTGCTTCACAGAATTGACTATGAAGTCTAGTGACTGTATTTTGTAGGTGAAGTGACTGACATTTCATTGGGGGAATTGTTGGCCACAGACACCGGGAGAGAGAAACTCTCCTCTCTTTGTCAAGAGTCGCCGAGGAGATCTTTAACATTCACCTGGACAGGCACAGACGGGACCTCGGTTTAATGTTTCATCGTTGGAGACGGGATTTTTTGCTGGCATCGAGGGACGGGCAATAAATTGCCAGCTTTGCCAGCATGTCCCCACGTCCAAAGATAAGTCCTGTAGCGTAGTGGTTAGTGTGCTCGCCTCACAAGCGCGAAGACCCGGTTTCAATTCCTGGGTGGAGTATGAAACCCACACGCCTCTGTTTACCTAACAGTAAGTAGGAACTCGAATGTTAGTCGATTGATGGATCGCTCTCCAGGGGTAATACTCCCTCCCCACGAGCAATGTGCTCACTCAATCCACAACTGTTTGTGGGGACGCTGCTGTGCGCAATTGGCTGCTGCGTTTCGCCCACTTAATACAGTCAATTCACTTTACAGTGTATTCTGTGAAGCGCTTCGAGATGTCTGAATGACGTGATAAGGCCCTATACAAGGATCGAGAAGAGGTGAAAAGCGCTCGATCAAAATGCACGGATTATTATTATTATTATTATTATTATGATCATCATCATCATTATTATAACAAATCACGTTCAGAATTGTTTCGGCTGAAAGAAAAATCTGCAGGTACAGAGATGTCCACTAGGAGGCAGCACAGGACTGTGAAAGGGAGGGGCGGTGTAAACCGAACGTGTTGAGCTGAGCAGATGGACCGAGACACGACACAGAGTGTTTGCGCTCAAAGCCATTAGCAGTGAGAGAGACATCAATTGCAAACTCTTTAAACCTTTGAAGAGTTCTGATAGCAACGATAACAATCCTTGCACTTGCATTTGATGCTGCACTTTACCACCTCGTCGAAACGTCTCCGGGGCACTGCACAGCACTTTTATTGTAAAGTGTAGTGACTGTGTGTATTCTCGTGAATTTTTTTCTTCTTTTGGGGGAGTTAAATCGATGAAATGGGATTGCGTCGGAACAATTGCTTGTCATTTTCGAGGAGTCATTTCGTACCCCCAAGAGGAGGGAAGAGAACTCGAGAGGCTTCAGGGTGATGGATGAGAGAAAATGTGCGTGTTTGGGGAGGGGGAGGGGAGTGGGGGTGGGGAGTGATTGAAAGCTAAGAATGAGTGGATGTCGATGCTCTTATTGACTGACAGAGAATGTGGGAGATTTCAGCGAAAGAACAATGTGACAAACGAGGGGGCGAGAGAGCGAGAGAGAGACAGAGAGAGCTAGTGACAACGGAGGCTGAACCACAATGGCTGAACCTGACCCACATTTCACTCCATTTAGGTTCAGCTTCAAACCAGGGTTTGCCATTGTGAGGGCTCGGGGTGGAGAGGAGGCGGCGTGAGTGTGTGTATATGTGAGTGTGTGTGTATGTGAGTGCGTGTGTACGTGAGTGTGTGTGTACGTGAGTATGTGTGTGTGGGGGGGGGGGTTGTAGAGCACGGAGGCTAAGCTGCCACAATGGTGGTGTTCATGAGCAGCTCTGACCTTGCACTCAGTGTCAGTGCTGCCGGTGACAGCCTCAGGAGTGGGTTGTGTTGAAGCCTCTGTCAGCTTCAGTGCAGATTGAATGACGAGTGGGATTCGCCTTGTAAAACAGCCGTGCATCTCGCGTGGGCACGACCAGGGTGTGGGTAGGAGTGTCTGCCCTTTGGGGGTATGTGTGGAGTGGGGGAGGAGTTGAATGCCTGTCTGTGGGGTGGGGTTCGATCAGCGGTGGGGGATGCGGGTGGTAGGAGAGGAAAGACACTGAGCAGTATAACCCGGCATCTATCAGAATTGGAGTGCTACAACTGAGAGCTGTACCAAGTTATTTGAAGCCCCATCACTACATGTATATTTGGTCACTCAATCAACGACTGTTTATGGGACGTCGCCCTGTGCAATTGGCTGCCGCGTTCCACCCACAAAATACACGGTCACTACACTTTACAGTGTATCCTGTGGAGCGCTTTGAGACGTCTCGAAGACGTGATAAGCCGCTGCATCAAACGCAAGAATTATTATTACTCGTTGCTTGTTCGTTTGCCTCTCGACTAACCAACCTTCACCACGCGCTCTGTGTTGGAAATACAGTGCGGAGCGACGATCACGATTTCTGTTGCATTTGCTGTTGCCTTAACAACGAGAACGAGCCCTTGTGACCCACCCCATCCCCACACCCACACACCCACATACCCACTTCCATCAACCAACTCAACATGAAGTGGGGCTGCTCTTGCCAGCAGTGGCCACCAGGCGGCAGAGCAGAGCAGAGCGGTGCAGCACTCACACCGACAGCAATGGTCCATAACAGAATGACACAAAGAAGAAGTGCACATCACTCACTCAACCCATCAGATCATTGCTCCACAGAAACCAATCCAATCCCATCCCTCCCGCTCCCTCTGGCTGTTAGAGAGGAGTGGGGGTGGGGGTTGGGGGGGTGGGGGTTGGGGGGGGGGAGGGAAATTGACCCCAAATTAAATTGACATTAAAGCGGAATTTGAGATGGGGTGGGACGAGGTGTGTGTAGGGAACGCGGTCGGCAATCCCACCCCCCAAAATTGGTCACTCAATCCACGGCGGTTTGTGCGCAATTGGCCGCCGCGTTTCACCCACGAAACAGTCACTCCACTCTGCAGTGTATTCGGTGAAGCACTTTGCCACGTCTCAGCGACGTGATGAGGCGCTATATCAAATGCAAGGGGAATAAAAGAGCGCCTCGCAAACTCGCTTCACAGGATTTCACCATAAACTGTAGTGACTGTGTGTTTTGCAAGCGATCGTAATACAGATTCTCCTGCACACTGCACACATACACAGACGAACACACTTAAAGTACTTGACATTCAGACTGACAGGAAGCTTTTTTTTTGCTGTAAAATATTAATCTCATGCATTTTGGCTTATTTGTACTTGTCTGGGAGCTTTCCAGTTTAATGTGTAGCTAAGCTAGAGGAATAAAGCCTTCTGACTCTCTGCTGTGGTAAATGATTCTCTCTCCCTCTGGTGCTTTCAAACCTCACACTGGGGCAGTATTGTTGCTGAGATCTGTAAGGAAATAAGGAAGCTTTTCACTAGTGACTTGGCAAGAGAGAGAAACTCTCTCCTCTGTTGCTTCCTGTTTGTGTGTTCTTTCTCCCTCTCTCTCTCTCTGTTCCTTAGCCTGAAAAGAACAGTCTCTCTCCCTCTTTCTCTCTGTGTCTTTTTCTGTGTGTGTGTGTGTGTGCCTTTATGTTCTTTGGCCTGAAAAGAACAATCTCTCTCCCTCTGTCTCCTTTCTCTCTCACTCTCTCCTCCTATGGTGAGGATTCCTCTAACCTCAGCCTCCTACCAAGTAGCTCATCCATTATGAATGAAAACTGACATCATTCCCCCATCAATAAGCCAGGCTCGGGCTGGGAGAAGCAGAGTCAAAGGGGATTTGTAAGTGCTCTCCCTCCCACCCTCCATCCAGTGGCAGAGCTGGTTACACTGCAGAGGGACCCCCCCCCCAACCAGCATCACTCATTCTCTCTCTCTGTGTCTCTCCTGTTCGTGTCTCTATCTGTCTGTCTCTTTTACTTGTGGAATCCACTCGACCAAGGACACAGTTTCTGCATGACTGTCACAAAGGTAAGTAAGGTCTGTCTGTCTCTGAACAGCTCAGGCTCTGGGGGGGACCAAAATAAAACATAGAGGGAAGGAAGGGATGGAGAGAGAGAGAGAGAGAGAGAGGGGAGGGGGAGAGGCCGTTAGAATAAGATGTGCTACAGTATGTGTGTAGTAGACTGCGCATAATGCAATGAAAGCTGCTCTCTCAGCCACTAAACCATCTTGTGCTCTCTGTCTGTGTGTGTGTGTCTCTGTGTGTGTGTGTGTGTGTGTGTCTCTGTGTGTGTGTGTGTGTGTCTCTGTGTGTCTGTGTGTGTGTCTCTGTGTGTCTGTGTGTGTGAGTGTGTCTGTGTGTGTGTCTCTGTGTGTCTGTGTGTGTGTGTGTCTCTGTGTGTCTGTGTGTGTGAGTGTGTCTGTGTGTGTGTGTCTGTGTGTGTGTCTCTCAGGACAGGTCAGGAGATGGCTTTGCTGGTCTGGGCTGCAATAGGCACTGACTTCAGCTTTTTTTAAATTTCATTAAAGAGACACACAGATATATACCCCCTCTCCATCCCCCCTCCCCCCCTCTCCATCCCCCCTCCCCCCCTCTCCATCCCCCCTCCCCCCTCTCCATCCCCCCTCCCCCCTCTCCATCCCCCCCCCCCCTCTCCATCCCCCCCCCTCTCCCCCCTCTCCATCCCCTCTCCCCCCCTCTCCACCCCCCCCCTCTCCCCCTCTCCATCCCCCCCTCCTCCCCCCTCTCATCCCCCCCTCTCCCCCTCTCCCCCCCCTCTCCATCCCCCCCTCTCCCTCTCCTCTCCATCCCCCCCTCTCCCCCTCTCCCCCCCCTCTCCCCCCTCTCCCCCCCCTCTCCATCCCCCCCCTCTCCCCCTCTCAATCCCCCCCTCTCCTCCCCCCCCTCTCCCCCCTCTCCCCCCTCTCCCCCCCTCTCCCCCTCTCCCCCCCTCTCCCCCTCTCCCCCCCCCTCTCCCCCTCTCCATCCCCTCTCTCTCCTCCGCAGCCGATGCTGTGTTCAGTGACAGTGTAGAGCGCTGCAGTCGGCGCCGCGATTCACAGCTTTATTTACATCAGTGCTTTTCAGTGAGTGAGGCCACAGGTACACTACAGCTGTCAGTCAGTCTGTGTGTCTGTCTGTCTGTGTGTGTGTCTGTCTGTGTGTGTGTGTGTGTGTCTGTCTGTGTCTGTGTGTCTGTCTGTGTGTCTCTGGTCCTGTGCCTCTGCATGTGCGTCTGTCCATCTCTGTGTCTGTGTTTGTGTATCTGTGTGTGTCTGTGTACCTATGTGTGTGTGTATGTCTGTGTGTCTCTCTGAGTTTGTATGTGTGTGTGTCTGTCTCTGTGTCTGTCTCTCTGTGTGTGTGTGTGTGTGTCTATATCTGTGTGTGTCTATATCTGTGTCTGTGTGTCTCTATATCTGTGTCTGTGTGTCTCTATATCTGTCTGTGTGTGTCTCTATATCTCTGTCTGTGTGTCTCTATATCTGTGTCTGTGTGTCTATATCTGTGTGTCTGTAGCTGTGTGTGTATGTCTATATCTGTGTGTCTGTAGCTGTGTGTGTGTCTATATCTGTGTGTCTGTAGCTGTGTGTGTGTGTGTCTATATCTGTGTGTCTGTAGCTGTGTGTGTGTGTGTGTGTCTATATCTGTGTCTCTATATCTGTGTCTGTGTGTCTATATCTGTGTGTCTGTAGCTGTGTGTGTGTCTATATCTGTGTGTCTGTAGCTGTGTGTGTGTGTGTCTATATCTGTGTGTCTGTAGCTGTGTGTGTGTGTGTCTCTGTTTCTGCAGCTGAATACCAGCTCCCGCCTATGTGAGAGTCTCAGAGTCAGTGTCTATTTGTGTGAGTTGTTTTAGAGGAAATACTTAATTGTGAGGAAAAGGATTTTCTTTCTCCTGATTGAGATGAATCCCGATTGTTCTGCGCGGCGGTTGGGGGGTTGTGTTGGGGGTAATGAAATGATAAGATATTGATGGTATATACTTCTGTCTGTTTACATTTGTCGTAATATCTGCTACCGATTTGGGAGTCAAGGACAATATACTATAGTGCGTAATACTGTAATAATACTCCTTGCATTTCATACAGCGCCATATCACGTCATTGAGACGTCTCAAAGCGCTTCACAGGGCACACTGTAAAGTGTAGTGACTGTGTATTTTGTGGGCAAAACTTTTGTGAAGTCTGACAAATGTAGGGGTTCATGTTGATCCCTTATTAGAGCTGAATGACGTACCTCTGAACTGTTATCCTCGCTCTCCCTCACCAACTTGAACTGCGCTCTGCCCCTCCCTCTCTTCCCCCCCACGCCCCCCCCCCCCCATCCCCTCCCACACACTGTGTGATGGCTTTCTCCAGTTTCCGGACAGGCTGAATCCATCCCTGTGGGGGGGGGGGGGGAGCAGATGGAGCCATTGTTGGGGGGATGGGAAGGGGTGAAAGGCAGAGTTTGTAGCACTTGACTTGGGGCTTATTGCCAACGGGCCCTGGAGATGGTTGTCATGGAGATGTGGATGGCCGAGCTCTCAGGCTGCGGCAATGAGGACACGGGGCTCCCGGCAAATGTGGGATAAACAAAGGTGTTGCCTCAGGCCTGTCCTCTGGGTCACAGTTGGCCGCACTACAGCACGGTTTTGCTTTGGTGTGTGTGTGTTGCTGTGTGTGTTGCTGTGTGCGTGTGGCTGTGCGATATCTCCCGACGTGAGAGGCGCTATACAAATGTAATTTGTGGTGGTTGTTGTGCGTGCATGGCTGTGTGTGCGTGGGGGTATGTATATGTGTGTGACTGTGGGTGCATATATATGTGTGCGTGTGGCTGTGTGTCTATAACACATTCCATCTCCATCACTACATTCAAACGCCATGTGGACACTCATTGTCCAGGGCGGAGTTCTGTGTCTGTGTGTGTGTTGTGGAGAGCATCTGTGGAAGCACATCCCAGTGGGTGTGAGTGAGGAAGGGGTCGTGTGTGTGGGTGGGGGGGAAAGACATAACAAAGCCACTGACAAACAGGATGGGAGTCAAAGCCTCGTCTCTCACTCATTAACGCCTGAATCAAATCTGCCGGGGGCAGGGGGGTGTGTGTGTGGGGGTGGGGGTGGGGGGGTGTTGGAAAGAAACAGTGTGAGAGCGATAGGCAGTAATGGTAATATCTGTCTCACATTCACTCATTTGTTTGCTCTCTCTCTCTCTCTGAATCTGTTACAGTTTAACGCGCCGCCTGAATATGAATCATATTCCAGAAGATAACCGCTGTATTACAATTGTAAACGGGAACTAACATTGCAAATGCGACTTAAATCTTTACGGCGATGTTTAGGCCTGCTCCGCCCACCCCCACACCCGGCTCAGTGTCGAGCTCCGCCACTGTAAAGCGCTCCGAGAAGCTGCCCAGCGTGAAGGGCTCTATGTAAATGCAATTTGTGGCCATAAAACACCGGATTAATAAAAATAATAATAATAATCCTCGCATTTGATGCAGCGCCTTATCACATCGTCGAGACGTCTCAAAGCGCTTCACAGAATACACCTTAGAGTGGAGTGAATGTGTATTTTGTGGGTGAAACGCAGCAGCCAATATTATTATTATCATTAGTACCAATAATAATCTCAGAGAGGATCCAATCTGTTTTACTTTGGATTAATCAGGAAGCTTTGGTGATGGGACGAATGAGAGGGGTGGGGGGGGGGGGGGCGGGTGGTGAGAGGGATGGGGGCTGAGAGGGGTGGGGGGGGAAGCTATCTGACACGTCATACCTGAAATTCAGTAAGCGTGAGACACTGAGCCAGAGAAACAGATGTTCCCAGATGTGTGTTGGAATCACAGCTGCCGACATGTGCTGTCCTCAGTGGGTGGGGGGTTGGGTCTTTATCCAGTACAGTTCCTAGTGGCAGGCATCTCCTGGGGGGGGCAGAATCACAGAGATTGTCACTGACTGTTCCCCCCCCCACACACACACACACACACATTCACTCCCACTCCTGTTGCCCAAAGCCTGGGAAGCTCTGTCCTGGCCTCTTCCCGGGCAAATACAAGGATTATTATAAGTGCTGATTCCCAGGGTCGACCTTCACCATCTCAGCCTCTCCCTCCCTGGTGCAATCTCTTCCCCACCACAACCCCACCTCACCCCCCCCCCCCCACCCCCGCATTCATCTCTCTCTCTCCCTCCAACATCTTGGCTTGAACCCATGACCCTTAGACCCAATTACGAGAGTGCAACTGACTGACTGACTCTGGGATGCCCTGTGTGAAGAGCGCTATATAAACGCTAGTTGTTGTCGTTGTTGACTGAGCCACAGGCTGACACCTATGGACTGGGGGGAGGGCGGAGATGACAGTCATTCAGAGTCCCTCAATTGGATAGGAGTCTTGACGCGTCTCAAAGCGCTTCACAGTCCATGGCTGTCGTGTGTGGTGAGATCGGGACCTGCAGTGAGAGCTCACACCTCTCGATAACATAGACCTCAGTCGCTAAGACTCGAAGCCAAACACGGCCGACATGTGGGGGTTTGAACTCACAAGCTTGTGACTCAGAGGCGAGAGTCTTAGCGACTGAGGTCTACTTTATCTAGAGTTGTGAGCTCTCACTGCAGTCCCCGATCTCAGCAGCCAAGACCCCAGACCAACCTGCAACAACAACAACAACAATAACTACAACAAATTGCATTTGTATAAAGCGCCTTTCGCATCGGGAGGACGTCCCAAGGCGCTGGAGTGTGTGAGCTGCACTCGTTTCACGCTCTCTCTCTCTCTCTGTCGGCCGTTCAGCTTTGATGCTCGTGTGAGTTATGAGACAGACACAGAGAAATGTGAGTGTTGTGGGGAACAGTGATAATCAGCTTCCAACTTTGCTGCTATGTTAACTATCTCACTCTCTCTCTCTCTCCCTCTCTCCCTCTCTCACTCTTTCACGCTTTGCTCCAAGCAGAGTCACTACACTTCGCAGTAAAATCCTGTGACACACGATTCGGAGCTTTAACAAATGCCAGGGTTATTACTAATATTGTACAACTGAATGGATTTGAGTCTCCATTTTATTGCTGGTGACCCTCGGTGCTGGAGTTTGAAGGAAAGTTAATCTCACTTGCTCTCCTCTCTCTCTTTCTCACATTCTCTCTCTCTCTCACACACATATACTCTTTGCTCTTTCCCTCTCACACACCCCCTCTCTTTCTCTCATGCTCTTTCCCTCTGCGGGAGAGGCTGGGAGGTAATTAAAATGAGCGCAGAAGTGAAGCTGAACGGAGGAGAGTAGGGATTTCATCCTGAGACACCGCACAGTCATTTACTGAAATGCTGAATGTCTCTAATTCCTCCAAGAAGCACTGACTGGAGCTAACCCTGGTCTGCATTTGAGTTGCTTCATTAATGTAATGTTGATGTCATATTGGTTGAGTCAGTAGTATTCTGGTCTGCGAGTAGGACGGTTGTGTGTTCAAGCTTCACATTGGGACTTGGAACTCATTATAGTCTATTTCAGTGCCTTGGGATGTGAAAGGTGTTATATAAATGCACTGTGTTGTGGTCTAAGCTGACCCTCCAGTGCGATGCTATGGGTGTGTGTCACATTGTTGCCCTTCTTCAGATAATAATAATAATAATAATCCTTGCATTTGATACAGCGCTTTTCATGTCGGGAGGACATCCCAAAGCGCTTCACAGAACACACTGTAAAGTGAATTGACTGTATATTTGTGGGCGAACGCGGCAGCCAATTGCGCACAGCAATGTCCCACAAACAGTCGTGGATTGAAAATGACCAATTTATTATTGTTTTTGGTTTTGGAGGGATTATTATTAGGCTCTGTGTGGAGTAAGGAAACTTGCCCAAGGTTTCGCCCTCTGCCTGGAATTGAATTCAGGTCTTTCGCTCGCAAAGCGAGTGCTCTAACCACTGAGCTACAGGACTCCACGATGAGACATTAAACCGAGGTCCCGACATCAAAGATCCCGAGGCACTATTCGAAAAGAAAAGAGAGTTTCTCTCTTCCTCCCGGTGTCCTGGCCGCCAATCCCCCGGATAAAATTGGTGGCTCACTCCAGGGCTGTTTGTGTGATGTTGTCCTCCGCACTTCACACACGAAACCCACAGCGATTACACTTTACAGTGTATCCTGCAAAGCGCTTTGAGACGTCGCGACGATGTGTCAAAGGCACGGATTATTATTATTTGTAAAATCCTGACAAAGGTTTTAACGTCACAGGCGCTGTGTCAAACTCAAGGTCCTGTAAACCATCTAAACGTTTCACCTTCTTGCTATCTATTCTTCCCTCCGCCTCCGTCACCCCCACCTTCAACCGCTCCCCTCCCCCCCCACCCACACCACGTTTCGTTGGCTTAAGCCCAGAGCGCATCTGGTTTTGCCGGCCCGCGATTCCACGGGCTCAGAGCTGGATCAGTCAGCATCTGGCTCAGGAATGCCTCCACCTTGCAGCTGTCAGGGTGAATGTCTGGCTCACGGCCAAAGGCTGTGATTAACTCTTACACCAGCGGCTCTCAGGGTTTGCCTGCACTGCAGAGAGCTGTGTCCGCAGCATATGAATTGTGCTATGCAGTCCCTCCATCTCTCTCTGCGAGCACCACCAACAGCAACCACTTGTGTTTATACAGCAACCTTCGTGAGGGGTAGCGTCCCCGGAGCGCTTGATAGTGGCCGAGTCTGACACGGAGACAGTGGGGGAGGAAGGGGGGAGGTGACCGTCAGCATCATCAAAAGGGAAGGTCTTTACAGGAAGGATTTGAAAGTGGGGAGGGACGGAGGGGGCAAAGCGGAGGGATTAAGGGGCGAGAGTTCTAGAGTTTCGGGGCGTACCAGTCACGAGTCCTCACCCGCCCGAACATCCAACTAACTCAAAACTCCACCGTCTGTATTCTCCCCTGTATTAAACTCCGTCCCACCATCACCCCAGTCCTCACCAGGCTTCACACTGGCTCTCTATCACAGAACGATCGACTTCAAGATCCCCTTTCTCTCTCTCTCTCGGTGCTCATGTCTGTGCTGAGTCCGTTGGGGGGGGGCTTCCTGCTAACCTGTGGCTGAGATCCGCGAACCGGAATTCCAGCTTCACCCGGCCCGGCTTTGCCAATGGAGAGCAACTTCAGCGGGAATCTGTCACGTCCGCTTGAAGAGGCACAGCCGAGACCTCGGTTTTACGTCTCATCCGAATGACGGCGCCTCCGACAACATGGCTCTCCCTTTCCCCTCCCCCCTCCTTCCCGTCCTGTGACCCGATCCCGGCTGTTATTCCCGGGATGTAGCCTGTCCCGGCTCAGCCTCCACGTCGCCACCCGTTGCCATGACCGGAACGACTCTTCCCGAAAGCAACAAGTTACTCATTTCAGAATTTCCGACGGGCGAACAAAAGATTTTTAAATTTTATTTTTAAAAAAAGGCCATTTCTTCTCTGGGGGAGATCTCGCAACTCCTCAGTGGGAGGGTGGGGTTTGGGGTAGGGGTGTGTGTGTGTGTGTGAGTGCGCGGGGGGGTGGGGGGGGGAAATGGTGGAGAGATCTCACACTGAACAGGAATGAATGGGGGTCTGTAATTAGATTAGTCAGACCACAGCACGTTTAATGCCCAACAAAGCCGCTTTATTCCCACTCGGACACAGCTCCCAGCTTGTGGTTAGGCGATCGCACAGAATGGGGAGCACCATTTCCTGCCAAGAGCATCGCTGGCGGGTGGGGGGGAGCGAAGGGGGAACAGTGGGATGTGGGGAAATCTCACCCCTTTTATCCTCACCATAAAATAAATGTGGTCACTCAATCCACGACTAATGGTGGGGCACTGCTGTGCGCAATTGGCTGCCGCATTTCACCCACAAATTACACAGTCACTCCACTTTACAGTATATTCTGAGAAGCGCTTTGAGATTTCTCAACGCCGGGATAAGTTAGGCGCTATGTCAAATGCAAAGCAACCAATTGTATCTGGAGGATTGTTGGCCAGGACACTGGGAGAGAGAAACTCCCTTTTCTATTCGATTAGCGCTGGGGGGGGAGATCCTTAACACTCACCCGAACCGGCAGACAGGAACTCGGTTAAAGGTCTGATCCAGCCAATTTATCTGGTTGGTCAGGACACGGTGGAAGGGGAGAAGAGCGAGGGGGTTAAAGGGCAATGCTAGCGTGCCCTGGACAACTTCTCCCTGTCACTGCTAATCCCGGGTGCTATTTGCCTGTTAATATCCGACCTTGTGCCGTTTGCAAAGCCTCCAAGTGCTCCGTCCTCTGAAGGTCAGACTTCAAGGAGAAAGCAGAGCCAGTGAGCTCAAGTCTCCAGGCACAAGAGCAGAGAGAGAGAGAGAAAAACAACCCTCAAGAAGGTTTATACCCGCAGCACAGAGCGGACAGCTCGCTCGCTCGCTCGCTCACTCAGAGAGCTGGCACGGGCACGATGGGCCGAATGGCCTCCTTCTGTGCTGTGAGATTCTGTGATGTTTTATACAAACAGTCGGGGACTAAAGTGATGGGGCTGAGGTTCCACAACTCGGCTTCTGGTTGCTGCGGTTACCAGCGCCGATTACCAGTCACATCCTCTCCCGCCCTGCAGCCTGGTGTCAAGTGTAGTGACTGTGTGTGTTGTAGGCAATTGGCACATAGCGATGTCCCTGCAAACAGCTGTGGAGTGAAGGACCAATACAGCGCTCTCCCCTCTCCCCACCCTCCCTCGCCCCCAGCGTTGGGCTCCAGCATCACCCTGGACTGAGTCCCGTTCAATTATCTCGCGGGGGAGAGTCTGTTAAACCCGCCCAGTGACGGGGAAAAAAGGAAATGTATGCAGTTGACTTCTAGTAAGTTCATCAAAAGGCAATTTCACCCTTTAATAGCTTATCAGCCTCCCCAAGGCACAGAGAGATTCCATCGTATTTACCCCGGGACAAATCTCCTTTGTGTCGGGCCTCAGAACTAAAGGGATTTCTCTGTAGCACAACATTGCCAAGCAGGATTGTTGGATTGTGTCTGAGGCTTACAGTCTACAGAACAAACCTCCGTGTTTCCCCCCTCCCCCAAACTACAGAACATCGCAGCATTCACTTTACTGTCAGATCAATTAAAAGTGATTTCCCCCTCTATCTCTCTCCGCGTTGTCCACCCGTACAAATGACATAGAATGATGGAATCTTAATGCAAACTTGCATCTGATATTCCACCTTATAACGTCGTTGAGACGTCTCAACGTGCTTCACAGAATATACAGTAAACTGAAGTGACTGTGTATTTTGTGGGTGAAAAGTAGCAGTCATTTGCACACAGCAGTGTCCCACAAACAGTCGTGGATTGAGTGACCACAATTTTTTTGAAGGGCTTATTAGCCCCGGAAAGTGATCCTCCAATCAACTAACAACCAGATTCTTACTTACTGCTGGTGAACAGAGGCGTGTGGAGTAAGGAAACTTACCTGAGGTTTTGCCCCTCGTGTCCGTGTGGCACGTCCACTGCCCTGGGCGCCCGACTCTGTCTCCCGTTGTTAACCCCTTCCCGTCCTCTCTTCACCTCCGTAGATGTCATGGCGCCCGCAGTATCGCAGCTCCAAGTTCCGGAACGTTTACGGGAAAGTGGCAAACCGGGAGCACTGCTTTGATGGCATCCCCATCACCAAAAACGTCCACGACAACCAGTTCTGTGCCGTCAACGCCAAGTTCATCGCTGTAGTGACAGAGAGCGCCGGGGGAGGGGCTTTCCTGGTCATCCCCCTCAGTCAGGTGTGTATCTCATCGCAATTCTCAATCCACAACACTGCGGTATTCACTGACTCCTTTACTCTCCCACTCCCAATCCTCAAACCATAAACACACAACAGTTATTCTCCCCCAAGGGCAGAACAAGTTGGACCAGTCACTGAGGGGCAGGGAATCCTCCCACTCAGCTCCCGTTAACCCCGCAAGCCAAAGCCCCAACTGGTCGGCTGGTCCTAGCTGAACAAACAGTGGGAAAGCTTGCCAGACAGTGCTATCAACGGCAAGCTATTTCAGTTTCAGCTGGTTTAAGCTTCAGCAGTTACTCCAACGCACTCTCTGGGCTCCCGCAAACCTTGGCTCTTGCCAACCTGTGCCTAATTCTTCCCGGAATTAGGTAAGCAAGAGGCGTCCCTACAGGGAGAGAGAGAGCAAGAGAGAGCGCATTCCATTCCAACAGTCTATCGCTGGGATTTCCATGTGTAGGTGGGCTGATTGGAAATTCTCAGCTTGGTTTGGCTTCTCTGAAGCACATGAGTCCCTGGTTGTCAGACACCCGGTGACCAAAATAAACTGTTCTCCCAGAATTCCTTTTCATACTTCCATAGGTTCCCGGTTAACTGTCTATTTACTCTTATGGATTATTCGACATAACCATAAAAACATGGGAGCAGAGATAGGGATCAATCACTCAGGATTTGGAGGGGCGAGGGGGACGGTGACGGGGTGGGTGGGGGGCGGAGTGAGGAGGGGGTGAGGTGGGTGGTGGTGGAACTGGAGACTGGCAGAGCCTGTAGTCCTGATATTGCGGGAAGCTCACCGAGCAGTCAAACAAAGAGAGGAGTTGCTTGGTGCAGCACTTTCCTCAAGGGAGGGTAGGGAGGCTGGCAGAGGAGACAAACAGACGGTCTCTCACTAAACTGTACTCAGCCATGGGGAAAATCAATGTGCGCTAAGTACACTTATTGATCGCCTGAAGGGTGTGTGAGGCAGTTTTGTATCTCCTCGTCTGTCGGGAAGAGAAGGAGGTCTAGCGTCAGCTGAATTTGAGAGCTGTACATCAGCCAGAGCTGATACAGCCTATAATAGCTCAGGCCAGCAAGGGTGGGGGGGGGGGGGGGGGGGAAGATAATAATCCTGGTATTTGATATAGTGCCTTATCACGTCGTTGAGGCGTCTCAAAGCGCTTCACAGAATATATTGTCAAGTGCGGTGACTGTGTATTTTGTGGGCGGAACGCGGCAGCCAATTGCGCACAGCAGCGGCCCCACAAACAGCCGTGGATCGAGTGAACACATTATTATTGTTTGATTTTTTTTTGGTGGGGGGGGAGAAAGGGATTATTACTCCTGTAAATCAGATATCAGAAAGGAGAGAGAGCGAGAGAGAGAGAGAGAAAAGGGAGAGACACAGAGGGAGGGAGGGAGGGAGGGAGGGAAGGAGGGAAATAAAAGGGGGGAAAAGACCAGGATCTAAAAATCATATAGATAAGGCTGAGCCAGGCCGCTACGCTCTGGTCGTGGCTTATGATGTAACTGCAGAGAGATCGCTCCTTGTGTATCTGTCCTGTGGTCACTTGTCCCCATCACCTGCGTCCCAGCGAAGAGCTTTCTCCCCAATGGCACAGTCACCTTGAGGAGCAGTGCCCTCTCCTGGACACACCGGCACTTTACACCGCAAACATCATCACCGCCCCTACAGACAGAGGAGACGATCCTTTACCATCTGACACGTCTCCCAAGTGTTTCACAGGGTTTTACTGCAGAGTGTAGTGACTGTGTGTTCTGTAGGCAAACGCGGCAGCCAACTTGAGGCACAGCGACGACCCGCAAACAGCCGTCAAGTGAAATGACGGGCAGTCAGGACCTCAGTTTAACAAAACAACGCAGCCACCCCCCCCACACACTCCTCCCCCAGCACTGCACTGGGACTGTCAGCTCACAGACCTGACTCAGGTGGGGGTTAGAGAAACCAACAACCTTCTGCCCCAGAAGCGAGAGTGTTGCAGGCTGAGCCAGGCTGATCAACGCTGCCTCTGACCTGACCTTGATGAGTGCAAACACTCACCCCTGTAATTATGGGGAGGGGGAGGGAAGGGAAGGAGAGGAGAGGGAGGAGATAAAAAGGTTTAACTCTACACTGTTAACTGTGCAGCCACAGAAAATGGGAATTTGGTGCCCTCCGTTGGCCGAGTTGTGCAATATTAGAAGCCATGGATTTTCTCAAACCAACTCATTCCCCATTGAAAACCAATGGACAATTTATGATTTAATTTTGCGTGATGGTGAATAAAGGAGCCTTTTGTTCAGGGATTCTCCTGATCGTGTCTCGTAATTCCTCCCCCTCTCTCCCTCACTCCCTCTCTCTGTTGGAGAGTGAGCAACTGTGGACAGGATCAGACCCCCTGTAGATGGTGTGCCACTGTCAGTCCCTGTTTATCACATAACAATAATTTACACCACGCCTTTCATGTCGGGACGACGTCTCAAAAAATAATCCTTGTATTGGATATAGCCCCTTATCACGTTGCAGAGATGTCTCAAATCGCTTCACAGAATATATTGTAGGGTGGAGTGACTGTATATTTTGTGGGCGAAATGTGAGCCAATTGCGCACAGCAGTGTCCCACCAACAGTCGTGGATTGAATGACCACATTTTTTTTGAGGGATTATTACCCCCCGGAAAGCGATCCGCCGATTGACTAACAATCGGGTTCCTAATTACCTCGAGGTAAACAGGTGTGTGGAGTAAAAACATTTGCCTAACGTTTCGCCCTGCCCGGGGGTCAAACCCGGGTCCTTCCGCTTGTGAGGCGAGTGCTCTAACCACTATGCTACAGGACATAGAGCTTGGCACTGTATGCCTAGTACCCAAACTGCGGGGTGGGGGTGGGAAAGGGGGAGTGACTCCCCCCCCCCACACCGCCGCCGCTGGCGAGGAGTGTTGTGATAAACATAGACTTTTTCGTTGTCAGCAGGGACCAGTCTTGTGACTTAGCTTTCCGAGCACTCCTCACCTCCCTCGCAATCTGCCCACCGCAGCCACGTAACCACCCCCCGCACCCCCGCCCAGCCCCCCGCGCCCACACACACCCTCCCCCTCTAGCCTGCCGGCCGAGTGATAAGCAGAGACCTCCTCCCTGCTACCTTTGAATTCAGCTACAGACAGCGAGCACAGCAAACAAGTGTGTGCACGCGGGAGGGACTGTAACCTTCTCCTAGTGTTTTACTCCAGCAAGGAATCAGGGGATCAGCCCCGCCCCGCCCCGCCCCGACCAGCCCAGCAAGCCTCCTCTGGTTTATCAGATCACGGCACATCATGTTGGACACCACTGAGCATAATTGGTTGCCACAATTTGCCCACAAAACACAGTCAATCCACATTACAGTGTATCCTGTGAAGCGCTTTGAGACATGACGCAATAAGTCACTGAGGAAGAGAAGGAGTGGTGGGGGGCATTAATTGCTGACCAGCTCCCCCCCCACCCTGCCACCAACCCCCCCCCACCCCCACCCACCCCAACTCACCCACTCGCTGTGGCTCTGGCCTTGAGTGGGTGAGTAAGTGACCATCTCTCTCTCCCCCTCTCTCACTCTCTCTTTCGCTGCTCAGACAGGACGAATCGATCCGCTTTACCCCAAAGTGTGCGGTCACCAGGGCAATGTGCTGGACATCAAGTGGAATCCGTTTGTGGAGAACGTCGTAGCCTCCTGCTCGGAGGACTCGTCTGTGAGTCTGTGTACACAATCTTACAATAATATTGCAATAATGCCACACAAAGTTACAATAATATTACAATAATATTGCACAACATAACAATAATATTACAATAATGCTACACAAAGTTACAATAATGCTACGATAATATTGCACAACATAACAATAATATTACAGAATGGTATAAAATGTTACATTGTATTAAATAATATCCAACACTATTCCAATATTATCATAGAATAAGAACAAGAACGTGGGAGCCATTACCAATCCAGTGCTCATCTGGAGCCTGTGATCTTGGTGTTCTCTGGTTGAGACCCGGATGTCCTGATGGAAGGACCGCTCTGAGCTCCATTCCTCCTCACAACAACAACTTGCATTGATATTGTGCCCCTCATCCACCCCTCCGGGTGGGGTCCCAGAGCGCTTGATCTGCATTCACGCTCCTCACTTTCTCCTCTCCCCTCCCCCAGGTCCGACTATGGGAAATCCCGGCGGGGGGGCTGAAGAGGAACATGACCGAAGCGGTTCTGGAGCTGTACGGACACAGCCGGCGAGTGGGGCTCATTGAGTGGCACCCAACAACCAACAACATCCTATTCAGCGCAGGCTACGATTACAAGGTCATCTCTCTCTCTCTCTCTCTCTATGTCTCTGCTCCCAGACCTCTGGAGCTCCCTCCTGCTTCAATCTTCCCCGCCCCCCCCCCCCCCCCTCCATCACTCTCTTTACCTGCCTTCAGATCACACCTGAAGATTTTCCTCTTTGACCGCACTTACGGTCATCTCCCCTTTCTCCCTGGCTCGACGTCAAGCTCCCCTATCCTTACGCGCTCCGGGAAGTCTCAACCACAAGATAAAGCACTATGTCAAATGCAAGGATTATTATTATTATTATTACAATAATAGCTGTGTTGGGGGTGGGGGTGGGCTAGGAGGTGTCAGGTGATGAGCTCTCACTCTGTGTGTGGGCTCAATAGGTGTTGATCTGGAACCTGGACATTGGGGAACCTGTCAAGATGATAGACTGTCACCGGGATGTCATCCTCTGTCTGTCCTTCAACACGGACGGCAGTCTGGTGGCCACCTCCTGTAAGGACAAGAAGCTGAGGGTCATCGAGCCGCGCTCCGGTCGCATCCTGCAGGTAAACAACAACAACAACAACACAGGACGTTCAGACAGAGACTTTCAGGTCAGGAGGACGTCCCAAAGCCGGGGATTTGGACCCCGAGCTGGGGGTTGGGATCAGGAGCAGTGGAGGGCAGGGAGGGTGGGGGGGTAGGATGGTGACCGAAGGCACGGTTGAAGAGGAGGGTCTTGAGACAGGCCTTGAAGGGGGGGAGTGAGGTGGAGGGTCTGTGGGTGGCGTTCCAGAGGGTGGGGGTAGAGAGGCTGAAAGTCCAACCGCCAATGGGCAGGGCAGGGTGGGTGGGGAGGGGGTGAGGTGGGGAAGGGGAGATCATTGTTCTGGCATTGGGTAGCTTTGCTTGTCCCTGTCCAAGCCGAATCATCGCAGCATAGTTAGTATTAATAGTATTAAATAGTATTGTGACTGTTGCATGTTGTTTACGTGTTTTGTGATTTGTTTTATTGTTGCTATTGTTCAGTAGTAATAGTTACTACTGAACGTTAAACCGCCTCGAAGGGTTAAATGGAGAGAGCCGAGGGCTGAGACCGCTCGCGAGTGAAATGGGGCCTTTATTCAGTGGTAACAAACGGCTGCATTATTTAAAGGCTGCCACGGCTTGTCGCGAGCGCTGAAATATTCATCAGTGTTGGGTGTCGCTCCCAGCAAGGGCTGGCCTTGTGCTTTGTTGTGGAAGCAGCGTGCGGAGAGAGAGAGAGAGAGAGAGAGACGTCCTCAACACCCCCAGATGTCAACCCTCCCCCACTGTATGGCCGCAACACCTATTGTTAATTATGGTGGGGGGTGGGGGGGGTGGGCGGCAATTGTAAGCAGGACTGGGGTGTAATATAACAGGCGCTATTTTTACTCAAACTCTGCGCACACTCTGAGAAACGCCTTCTCTCTCTCTCTTTAGCCCACACTGCGCTTCAGAAACTCGACGGTTGCACAAAACACGCTAGGAAATCTGTTAATGCCACCGAGTCCACTTACAAGACGCGCAGTCACTACACTTTATTTACATTGACGCTTGCATTGCCTCGGTTTCCGGACATCCCAGTTGAAGTTGCAGTGATCGCGAGGGATTTGGATGAAGAAGGACCTTGGGCCTGTTTGCTCTAGTCCTTCCGCACCCACGTCCCCCAACACTTCTCCCGTTCACTCCCCCCATTCCCAGCACTAAGCTCGCGCCCCCACGTCCCGGCCCCCCACCCCGTGCCGGTCATTAATTGCCCTCTGCTATCCTTCTCTCACCCCCTCTCTCTCTCCCAGGAAGCGAGTTGTAAGAGCCACAAGGTCAATCGGGTGGTTTTCCTGGGCAATATGAAGCGGATCCTGACGACCGGTGTCTCTCGCTGGAACACACGGCAGATCGCGCTCTGGGATCAGGTCAGTGTGGGTCGAGCCCAAACCAAGACCCTCCCAATGCCTCCCCCACCCCACCACCCCCGTGACAAAAACCTCCCGGGATCCATGGTAATCGGCCCCACGTGAAGGGCGAGGGGTAAATGCAAGTTGTTGTTGTTGGTGCCCTTGACGTTCCGACATTGACTTTGTTCCCTACTCCTGACAGGAAGACCTGTCGATGCCGATGGTGGAGGAAGAGATCGATGGGCTGTCCGGTCTCCTCTTCCCTTTCTACGACAGCGACACTCACATGTTGTACCTGGCCGGAAAGGTACGCTCCCTCTCAAAACACTTCACCTTTTGGGAGTCCTGTGGTTTAGTCGTTAACGCGCTCATCGCGTGAGCGAGAGGACCTGGGTTCAATTCCCAGGCGGGTCAGGGCAAGTTGTCTTCACACACGTCTCTACTTACCAGCAGGATGTAGGAACCCAGTTGTTAGTCGATTGACGGATGGCATTGTGGGGGTAATAAATTTGGTCACCCAATCCACGACTTTCTGTGGGACGCTGCTGTGCGCGATTGGCTGCCGTGTTTCAACCACAAAATACACAGTCACTCCATTTTCTGTGCAGCTCTTTGAGACTTCTCAACGATGTGATAAGGCAAATGCAAGGATTATTATTATTTACGGGCGTTTACTGCTGCGCTTGGTGTAAAGCTATTTGGATGTAGCCGGGAATCTGTGACGTTCCTCACCTCTCCCCACAGGGCGATGGGAACATCAGATACTATGAAATCAGCAGTGAGAAGCCGTACCTGCATTACCTCATGGAGTTTCGCTCCCCTTCTCCACAAAAAGGGATGGGTAAGATACCCCGTGCATTACACTCCTCTTGGGCACTTTCAGCATTGACCAGGGGGGCGAGGAGCTGGTTTAACCAGTTGTTAGACGATTGGCGGATCGCTTTCCGGGGGTAATAATCTACTAATCCTTCCGAAAGAAAAAAAATTGCCCACTTAATCCAGGACTGTTTGTGGGGACGCTGCTTGCACAATTGGCTGCCGCCTTTCGCCCACAAAATATACAGTCACTTCACTTTACAGTGGATCCTGTGAAGCGCTTTGAGACGTCTCAATGACGTGATGAGGCGCTGCATCAAATGGGATTATTAATAGTATTATGTGCTGATCAGTCTTCGTGTCTACCACAGGCGTGATGCCCAAACACGGGCTGGACGTGTCTGCGTGTGAGGTGTTCAGGGTTTACAAGCTGGTCACGCTCAAGGGCCTCATCGAACCCATCTCCATGATCGTGCCAAGGAGGGTGAGTGTGGCAGCTCCCATGCACTGCGTCTCTCCTCCCACTCAGTGTCCTGCCTCACTGACTGTCTCTCTACTGTGGCCAATGCAGTGACTCTTCACAGCTACTTCCCATCTTAATCTGCCAGCCTCGCACTCTCACCTCTGAGTCAGAAGGTTGTGTGTGTGTGTGTGTGTGTGAGTGTGAGGGAGTGTGTGTGTGAGTGTATGTGGTGTGTTCAATGTAATATTGTGGCAAGACTCAGTGTCACAGAGTAAAGCCTCGATGTCATGGCTAATCTCCGCGGACACTCCCTCCCCTCACTCCGCGTGTTTTCATTCAGTCAGAAACATACCAGGAGGACATTTACCCTATGACAGCGGGAACGGAGCCGGCCCTCACCGCCGACGAGTGGCTGGGCGGCACGAACAGAGGTACAATAGTTAGCTACTGCACTTCCCGTTTACTCTGTTTTGATGTCTGAGACACTGCGTTAAACACGAGGAGTTATTACTGTCTTGAGTTGGTTGATAATGTTTCTGTTTCCCGTGCTCTGTCTCACCCGGTCCCCCCTCGACTCTCCCCACCCCCAGATCCCATCCTCATGTCCCTGAAGGAAGGCTACAAATCCACCAACGTTGCTTTCAAAGCCCCTAAGAGAGACAAGAAGAGCGTGGTGGTGAACGGCATCGACCTGCTCGAGAATGTGCCGCCCAGAACGGAAAACGAGGCAAGTCTGGGCCATCCTGTCCAATTCAGTGCCTACTTTACACAATATCCTGTGAAGCGCCTTGTGACGTCTCAACGATGTGATAAGGGGCTACATCATCAACAACACATTACATTCTCACAGCGCTTTTCATGTCGGGAAGACGTCCCAAGGCACTGGACAGTCAGGGGCTTGGACCCGAGCTGGGGGTTGGGATCAGGAGGGTGGAGGGCAAATCAAATGCAAGGATTATTATTATTATTATTATTATTGGAGGGTAAGCTGCGGCTGTCTGACTTGTCTCTCTTCCCGCGCTCACTGTACCAGCTCCTGCGGATGTTTTTCCGGCAGCAGGATGAGATCCGGAGGCTGAAGGAGGACCTGAGCCACAAGGAGGTGAAGATCCGGCAGCTGGAGCTCGAGCTGATGAACCTGAGGAACAGCCCGAAGAGCGTGTGAGCCTGGGGCTCACCAACACCTCCTTATACCACCTCCACCTCGCCCAACCCCCTTCCCCACCTCCCCTCCCGCTTCACCAGCCCGCTCTAACAATCAAGACTTGGGGAGGGGGGGGCATTTTCCAAGCTTCAAGACCCCCGAACACAGGAAACCCCATAAACCGGAGAATTCCTTTTCCCTTTTTATATATAATATATAAACCCCTTGTATTTTTTTCCTCCTGGATCGTCACAATACACACCCCCCCCCACCCCACTCCCCCCTGCTCGCCCCCATTCCGCTGACATGAGCGTCTCACAACACAAACTTACCTCCTTCATTCAGCTCTAGGAGGACACGACAAGATGCTTAACATGAACATTAATAATCCTAGCTGGTCTTTCTTGGGCAGCCAAGTGACTCCTGGACACCGCGTGTTAATGAGCGTCAACGGCTGCTTCTAAACATCATCTCCTCCGGATGCTGCTATTGACTACCCCCAACAACCCCCCCCCCCACCCGACTTTATTTTTCAATTGAATTTCAAGTATGGCAACGGAATGCCAGGCACTGGCAGACACCCAGCATGGCAATGGGGCTGGCGAGTGGCAAAGTGGTTTGCGGAAGGCAATTGGGAAGGTGATGGTTGGCGAATGGTAATTGATTGGATGACATTGAATAATGAGTGGCCAAGCCAGACTGTACAATTAATGACAACTTGCACTTATATATAGCGTCTTTCACATAAGGCAACATCGCAAAGCGCTCCCCAAACACCATGTGGCTCCCCGAGCCAGTGTGGTGCTGGGGAGGAGGGGTGGGGGGTAGGGTTCGAATGTTGACCAAAGGCACAGTCACAGAATTGGGTTTCTGGGAGGTTTTTGCAGGTAGAGAGAACGTAGAGACGTTGAGAGTGTTCCGAGAGCAGGTAACCGGCAAAAAGACTGTGGGATCCCGTAGCGTATTGATTAGTGTTTGCCTCGCAAGCGAGAGGACCAGGGTTTGATTCTCGGGCAGGGCAAAACCTTAGGCAAGTTTCCTTATTTCGCACACCTGTTTACCTCGCAGTAAGTAGGAACCCGGTTGTTTTAAGTCGATTGGCAGATCGCTTTCGGGGGATAATAATCCNTTTTTTTAAAAAAGTGGGTCACTTCATCAACGACTGTTTCTGGGACACTGCTGTACGTAATTGGTTGCCACGTTGCTCCCACAAAATGCAGTCACTACACTTTACAGTATATTCTGTGAAGCACTTTGAGACGTCAGTAACTTTGATAAGGCACTATGTCAAATGCGAGGATTACCAATATTGTCATAAACATTTACATCAAAGTTGATCATCTTCACGACCATGAGATCAGTGATATAAATACGCGCTCCTCCCTCCCCTACACCTGGATCTTTAAAACAACCATCAGGGAACCATTTCTCACTCTGAGTTTAATATATGTATAAATTTAGTGTTCCACCCCCCACCCCCATAATTTTAACTCGAAATGTCACCATGTAAAGTGAACCCCAGACATTGTCATTAATAAAGTCCTCGACCCGGGCATTTGTAACTCCTTTGCCCTCTTAAAAAAAAAACATTAATTGCGACTGCCTCCATTATTCAGTCACCAACATTGGAAATAAAGCCTTGAATTCTCAGTTTCTGTTAATGCGGTTCCTTCAGACCAGTCAACAGGAATCACGGCTCTTTGACCATGTTCCCGGCGTTAAATATTTCATGCCTTTTTTTTAAAAAAAAGATGACATTTAACTGTGGCTATTAATAACTCTTCCACAGAGTGACGTTAGCAGACACTGAGCGAAGCTGGGACTTGAGAGACAGCAAAAAGCACCAAATTATCTGCTTACATGACTTCAAATCCCTTCCAAAATTAATCGGTCACTCAACTCAATCCACGACAGTCTGTGCGCAATCGGCCGCTGCGTTTCGCCCACAAAATACAGTCAATTCACTGTACGGCGTATTCCACGAAGCGCTGAGATGTGATAAGGCACTATAGCAAACACAAGGATTATTATTATTATTATTTATATTTGGACAAAGTTGGAGCCTTCACCACAAAAAGGGAAGGGCGAGTGTGGGGGTGAGGGGTGGGGAGGAGGTGGGGTGCAGTTGGGAGCGAAGGCAGGAGCGCCCCCACATGGCCACGTACAGAATCCCTCCCTGTAAAAGGTGGTCGATGGCAGTAGTGAGTGGCGCCACCTGCTGGGCACACAGGTACAAGCAAGTGGTGTGGCTTCACTGGGCAGGTTAGGGTTAACCAGATGTCCCTGGAGAGCAATGCTAATGCAATTCAGTGCCAACAGTCTACTAACAATCTACTAACCCAACACAGTCTAACAAGGGGTTAAGGGCGGGTAATTGGAGTTGAGGTACAGTTCATCCATGATCCAATTGGATGGCGGAACAGGCTCGAGGGGCTGAATGGCTTATTCCTATATCCCAACCTCTTTGTTTGGCCCACAAAATAAATGCTTCTTGATCGAATATCGCTCGATTTTATGGCATCAATCTGCTGTTTCATTATTTCTATGATTATTTTGTCGGCCAACGAAAAAAGGTTGGTCCATCCATCTGGACCAGGACTTTGCCTTCGGTTGGCAAATTAGAGGGGTTGGTGGGTAGAGAAAGAGCGTGAAGGGAACCAATAATTATCGATGTACTGTACTCGTTAACCCAAGGCATTAGAGATGCATATCAATCAGCCTCTCCGTGTCACATTAAAACAATATCTACACACACACACACAAGCTGTGAATAAGCCAGACAATTGCTGAATTACTGTAATAAAAAGGCACGTTGTAGTTCTTTAGCTCTCGGGCTGAGATGATGGTGATTATTTATTAACCCTGAAGGTGGGGGCACGAGTTGAAGTTCCTGCCTTGTAAATGAAGTGTCTGGTGCTGCTTGGAAAGAAATTTCCAGTTGTCGCTTTCGAAGAGGATGGGGCAGAACAAGATAATTTGGCCACTCAATCCACGACTGTTTGTGGGACGCTGCTGTGCGCAATTGTCTGCCGCATTTCGCCCACAAAATAGTCAATCCACTTTACAGTTTACTCTTTAAAGCGCTTCCAGACGTCGAAACGACGTGATAAGGCGCTATCTCAAATGCAAGGATCATTATTTTTATAAGGCACTCACTCCGAGATTCAAAGCTACACTCCACACACAGACCCACAAATAATTGTGTATATATATATATATAAAAAAATTTATTGAAACTGTTGAATGACAAAAAAAAAGCCACAAAAACTAAAACGTTTGTCTCTGCTGAGAAACATTGTACAGGTGAAATGTTGTACTCTGGACAGTCACTCCTTAAACCATCTTTAAGAGGAAAATGAAAATAAAGATCTGTACATTCACTAGCTTCCCTCCCCCACCCCTCGCACCCCCACCCACCCCGGTCTTCCACAAGATAAGAAAATACAATTCTGCATTAGTATTATACCCTTGAATGTATGAAAACAAGTCCATTCAACGCTACATGCTATTATTTCTAGTCACTCCATGTCTGCATAAATGATGCTCGTAAAAGGAAACTCAGCAGAGCACAGCCCAGCATTAGAAGAAATGTACAGTGTGTTTTTCTCCTGCTGTATTGAAGCTCTCAGCTCTCGACTCAAAAGGTTTGTGGGTTCAAGCCTCCAGGCTGGGGATTTGAGCTCAGTCAAGCCTGATGCTCCAATGCAGTGTTGGGGGGTGGGTGGAAGGTGGGGGGGTCTGAAAAAAGAAAGCGCTGCACGGTTGGAGGTGCCATCCTTCGGATAGACATTGAACCGAGCTCTCGTTTGTGCCTGTTTTAGACGGACGCTAAAGATCCCGTGGCACTTTCTCTCGCCCGGTGTCTTAGCCGACAATCGCCCCAGATAAAATTGGTCACTCACTTCGTGGCTGTTTGTGGGGACATCACTGTGCGCAAATTGGCTGTTAAGTTTCACCTACGAAAATACTCAAAAGTCACTGCACTTTACAGTAAATCCTGTGAAGCTCTTTTGAGACGTTTCAACCAACATGATAAGGTAATGTATCTAACGAAGGATTATTCTGAGGATCATATAATTACAGACCAGACACCCGTGTTGTCAAAACAGGTTCAAATTAATATTTCATTACAATGAAGTCAATCATCACACAAGAGATTCCTCGGTTGGGGACTGGTTGCAAACGGACCGGTTTCAGAAAGTGAGCGACGAGAGTGGGGGCGTGGAGAAGGGAAGAGGAGAAAGTGGGGGTGGGGGGGGGAAACAAAACTAACAAAAGGACGAGTAATTTGGTCATTATTTACAGAAAGAAAGAAAGAAAAAAAAGACACACTCGCCACTTTCCAGGATCAGAGTAAATCAGAGACAGAACCAGGTTCACTTTCCCAATCTGACGCGGAGCGAATGAGAACGCCACCTCTCACAATACGGTACATATTGCTGGGGATACAACACATGGAACGTCTATCTATATAAAAAAAACAATTTCCCCCTCCCTCACCCTACACCCCCCCCCACAAAAAACCCCCAACAACAAACGAGGACCAATGTCTCTCTCAAACACACACACACTCACTCTCTCAAACAAACACCCATTCAAACACACACACACACACACACACATGTAAAATCCCAGAGCAGTTGTGCTGTGCAGCACGGATCTTCCTCTGTTGCATTTCCACAGCAACATTACAACCAGAACAGAGAGAATCCTCCTCTACACTTCCCCCACCACCCCCCCAATCGGGTTTTATTTAGGGGCAGAGGGCAGTGGGGGAAGAAGAAGAGAAACAGGAAAGAGAGGTAAAAAGAAAGGAGAGCGAGCGAGAGGCGGGTTAGAAAGGCTGCCAGGGTGGATTCAGTCATCTTCCTCGCCTGCCTCCTCCTCCTCCTCTTCCTCAGCTTCTCGTTTCCTCTTCTGTCCTCGGGCGTCTGGGATGAGAACAACAACAAGGAGACGTTGCAGGGAGATCCCAGACATGAGCAACACGAACAGCAACGCAAGGAGGCTCGCAGTCACACAACTACAACAACTTGCATTTACACAGAGCCCTTCGTGCGGGGAGGCTGCGCCTCAGAGCGCTTAAACAGCGGCGGAGTCTGGGGGGGGGCGGAGGGACGGGAGGTGACCGTAAGCCAGGTCGAAGAGGAAGGTCTTCGGTTGTGATCTGATCGAGGGAGAGAGTGACGAGAGTTTCGGGGTGTAGTGTAGTGGAGCGGAGGGGGATGAGGGACGAGCAGGAGCTCGGAGCCAGTCGATCAGAGGCAGCGGGTAGCGGAGAGGGGAGTAAGCAGGTCGGAGAGGCAGGGAGGGCATGGGAAACATGGCAACAGCTGGAAAGGCTTTAATACATCAAAGCTAAATATTAAAAAGGTTCAACTATTAGTTAATGAATCAATTATTATTAAAACTACATTGGATTCTACACTTGTTAAGACTCTTGTCTCGTCACTGCGTCCGGGTAGGTGTGGGCAGTGGGGGGGCATGGGGGGGGATGAGGGAGAAAAGCAGCTGTGGATAGACACAGGGGACTGGTGGGACAACACTCTGGCAGGGACAGGAAGGAGAGCGCGAGTCTCTGCGTGTTTGGGTTTGAATCCCTCAGAGCCACAAGGTCAACACAGCAAAGGAATTCACCTGAGAGAGAGAGAGGCAACCCAGCCCGACCCAACTCACCCAATTCCTCTTCATCCTCTTCCTCGTCTATTTCACCATCATTGAAATCCTCCTCATCCTCCTGTTAACAGTGAAGGTGTAAATCAACAAATCAAAGCTCCGACTCCAAGTCCTCCCCCCACCCCCAACGACCAGGGAAGTGAATGCCCCATTCTGCACAGAATACAAGTCCCAATGCAAATCCTCCCCCCCACAAAAACATACACGCACGGTTCTAATCACTGGCAAATGCTCGTCCAACAATTAACGTCAGAGGGACATTTCAGAGCCCATGATGGTAACAATGATCCTCTGCTCCCTCCTCACCTCCTCTTCACCGCTGATGTCCTCTTCCTCCTCCTCTCCATCTTCTTCCTCCTCCTCCTCTTCTTCGTCTTCATCTTCATCATCCTCCTCCCCCTCCACCGCAGCTACCTCCTCCTCATCTTCCTCATCCTCGTCGTCCTCTGCGCGTTTCGAAACAAACAAAATTTAAAAAACAGAGAGTCTGTGGCACGCGATCACAAGAGAACCTAGAGGGAGATCAGCTTTTGGTCTACGTTGACCACTCTCCTGATCAACCTCACTCTCTCTCCACTTGCGCCGAAGGGTGGGGCAGAAAGGCCCGACCACTGATGGTGGGGTGGGCAGGGGATGTGGAACCCGCTGAGCGGAGGGAGCGGACAAGTCAGTATGGAGTTAACGGGAGCAAGACCTTTGAGAGGGTTTTGAAGGCGAGGATTTTGAACTCGATCCTCTGGGGGACGGGGAGCCAGTGGAGCCGGACCAGGGTGGGGATGATGGGGTCACGGAGCCTGTTGCATGAGAGGACGCGAGCAGCAGAGTTCTGAATGGTCTGCAACTTGTGTTGGCGGAAAAGGTGGGAAGCGGCGAGTTAGCATAACCAAGCCTGGATGTGTGGGTCAGGGTGTCGGCGGCCTGAGGGGAGAGGCAGTGGCGGAGCCGGGCGATGTTGCGGGTGTTAACAGCAAGATTACCATCTTCCTCATCATCATCATCGGGCCCCTCCACACAGATCTCCGTGTCCGAGTCAGGCGCCTCTTTGTCTTTGCGATCGTAGCCGTCCAGGTAGGTGAGCAGCGGCAGTAGTTTAAACAGACTGTCCCTGTAGTCACTCAGGTTTGTCACCTCACAGTTAAAAAGATCTAAACTCCTCAAGTTATCCAACTTTTTCTGTGTGGGGGGAGGGAGGGAGGGAGATGTATGGAAAGGAGGGAGATGGAGAGTAGGAAAGAGAAAGAGATTAAAATCAGACAAGATCACTGTGCAATTCACTCTCAATTTGGTGGCCATATTGCTTAAATCAATCACTTAAGATTGCTCGCGTACAATTCATGTAAGATTTCTACTCTTCCTCGTCTACCCTGAACTGTGTAAAAAAAACAAATACACACGTAAACAACAACAATAAATTACACTTATACAGTGCCCTTCACATCGGAAACATGTCCCAGGGCACTGGACAATGAGGGGTTTCGGACCCGAGCTGGGAGTTGGGCGTCAGAGAGGGGTGTGGCCGAAGGCACCATCAAAAAGGTCTTCAGACGGGACTTGAGGGAAGCAAGAGAAGGGGTGAGGTGGAGGGATTGTGGGATAAGAGTTTGAGTGTGGGGGCAGAGATGCTGAATGCCCGACCGCCAACAAGTTGCATTTATATAGCCCACCCCACGACCCCCCCGAGACCCTAGCCATCACCGCAAGCAAACCCGCTCGCTCCCTCACCAGAGGCTCTATTGTGCTGAGATCCTTGATCTTGTTGCCGCTCAGGTTGAGATGTGTGAGGTTCGGACATTTCTCTGCCAGCACGTCTAGTCCCCCCGAGATCCTGTTGTCACTGAGTTCAAGCTGTTTTTGTTTACACATTTCAAAAAACACACACACACACACACAGTGCAGTTAGCTATTGGTTTGTCGCGTTTCGCCCACAAAATACGCAGTCACTGCACTTTGCAGTATATCCTGTGAAGCGCTTTGGGGAGTCTCAACCACATGATAAGGCGCTGTATCAAGTCAAGGATTATGATGTTGTTTAAAAACCTTTTGGCGTTTAAACTGGAAGGTGGGACCCGGGCCACGATTGGCTAAAGTAGCCGTCGTTCATCAGGGTGGGAGGGTGGGCTCTGGGTGATGATCGTTTGGTCCAAGCTGTCACTCACCCAGACGACGGGCTGCGGTATTAGGAGCTAGTGTCGGGGAAATGCCCCCGGGTATAGCCGGTCGGCCCAGCCGTACCCCCAACCGCCTACCTTCTTTAGTTTGGTTAGCTTGGGGAGGTTCCCCACGGACGTCAAGCCCACGTTGATTGTGCTCAGGAATTCCAGCTCCTCAAACTCATCCGTCAGACCCTCGATCTTCCCCTCGTTCGACCGGCAATTGTCTAGAACGAGTTCTTTCACCTGGGGAGAAACCGAGGTTCGACACAGGGGTGAAAACATGGTACTAAACAATAGCATCTCCACCCCCCCCCCACCCCCCAATCCAGCCTGGGCCAAACCAATGGATAAGTCTTAATGACAACAACACATTACATTTACACAGTATCTTTCGTGTTGAGAGGGCGTCTCAAAGCGCTCAAGGACAATCTTTTTTTTTGGAGGTGAGCTGGGGGTTGGCCTCAGGAGGGGTCTTGGGCAGGGGGGGTGGGGAAGGAGGCTAAGCAATGGAGCAGTCAAAGAGGAGGGTCTTGAGCCAGGCCTTGAAGGAGGGGGCGTTGTGAGGCAAATAGACTGTGGGATAATTATGACAACCCTATAATTCAGGTCACAGGTGCCAGGGATCTGGAATACACTGGTGCGGGGTGGGGGGGGGGGTGGTGGGGGCTGAGAAATCCACATAATCCTCCCCCCCCCACAACCTTCAGCTGACGAAAGTTCCAGTTCTCTCTCTTTCACCCCTCCGCCCCCCCCCCCCACCCACCCCCAACCTTTACAGCCACACTTGGAAATCACTGAACCCATCTTACGAGTTCTTTTCCTTAAAAATTAAATTAAAGCGATAAGTTTAGCCATAAGCTCTCTCTCCACCAGCGCCGACCGGAAGCTAAGACACCACACACCGCACCCGCGCATCAAACTGGCCTGAGACCACCTGAAAGCCAAAAAGCCGTTTGCTGCGCAGCGAAAGAAAGGGCGTCGGATCCAGGGAGAGAGCACATTGCCAAAAGGACAGAGTACAAGTGACAGCGAGGGATGTTGGGTCACACGGTTTGCCCGGTGGGAGTTTACTGCACACTCTTCGCTTGGCTAACGCAGGTAATGCTGCCGCTCGGCAAAGCCGGGAGCCGCCCGCCATTGAAATGCCACCCTCTGACAGACAGACAGACAGACAGACAGACAGACGTCAATCTCCAACAGCGCACACACACACACGAGAAAATATTAATAAAATATCCTTCAACTGAGAGCCACCCCCTCCCCTACCTGCCCTGGTGACGTGTGGGAAGGGGGAGGGGGGAAGAGTTCTTTGACGTTCAGGTGGAATTTAAGGATCCCAAGACACTATTCGGAGAGGAAGGAGAACGGCTTCCGACAACCATTTCCCAGATAAATCGGTCATTCGCTTCGTAGCTGTCTCTGCGACCTTCACTGTGCGATCAAATTGACTGCAGCGTTGGCTCACAGAGTGCACTCAACAGTAATTCCCTGTGTAGAGGGCTTTCAGGCATTTCCACAGCACAGGCGCTGCGTCACAGCCCCCAACGTTAATATTATCCTGTCTTTCAGTGCTCCCGGACGCCACCCCGGCGTGAAGGGCGCGGTGTGGATGTAAGCTGTTGCTTTGGGACGTCCTCCCGACGGGGAAGGCGCCGTACAGACGTCATTTTGTTGTCGCCGCCGCCGCCGCCGCCGCAGAGACCCACCGCCAAATCTTGGGCTTTGGGAATTATCCCGAAATTTCTCGTTGGGATTATGCAGCAGCAGCAGCAGCAATAATAATAATAATCATCATTTTTTTTTAAAAACGTATCATCGAATTTTAAAAAAAAACACAAGCACTGTGTACTGTGTACTTGACCCATTTCATACGACAGGGCCCTGGTTGGGAGTAACAGATACGTGTGGACAGTGTGATGCGGCGGTTAGAGCGAGCACGAAAATAAAAATAAATCACTTGTAACAAACAACTGGGGGGGCGGCGGGGGGGGCGGCGGGGGGGGGGGGGGGGGCGGCGGCGGAGAAACAAACCAAGTGCTCCCCACAGCGCGTCGAAGAGACTTTTAATGTTAAACGGCCTCTGATGGGTCGTCAGGTCAGTGCCAAAAACAGCCCCGGACCGGATCTCCACATCGTGCGGCTCCAGCCTCCTCCCCCCAACGGACATCTGAATAATTCACCAGTCGACACGGCGTGTGAAGGGCAGCCCCCCCCCCCCCCCCACCCACAGCGTCCAGCCGCCGAGCCAGTGAGCCATTTCACCGTCTCCCACAGCGGCTACGACCGTTTTGGTCACTGGCGCGCTACAAGTCTGGCCAATTCAAACTGGGCTCTGCGCTCTCCAGCCCCCAAAACAACAACAACAACAACAACAACGACTCGCGTTCAGATAGCAACCTCCAGGCCAGGGCAATGCCTCAGAACGCTCAGCACAACAACACGGGGCGATGGGTTGGGAACGCAGGACTCAAGACCGTATCTCTCCATAATTTCTGAACTGAACGCTCTCTCTCCCCCCCACCCCCCCCCCGCCCACCCAAGTGGTTGGGAAAATGCTGTTATTCTACATTCCAATGTCACCCCCGGGGTGTCAGCCTCGACTGTGAGCTCAAAGCCCCAACATGAACCTTGAATCCACGACCTTCAGCCTCGGAGGCGAGCGCTACCCGCTGAGAGCCAGGCTGAGTAAAACGGAATTAAAAAGGGGTCCCTTCCAACCTCGCAGTTGCGGTCAAATCGCTTCTGGAACAGCCCAACCCTTTTCCGTCTACTTGCCTTTCCAGCCGACCAGTCACTTTGCCCAGGTTGTCCCCAGCCTCCGCCAACTTGCCTCCATAAATATCGGGGCCCAAAAAAGCAAAACAAATTCTGTCTCACGAGGTGCCCGGCCCGGCCCGGCCCGGCCAGGCCAGGCCAGGCTAGGCTAGGCCAGGCCAGGCCAGGCCAGGCTAGGCTAGGCCAGGCCAGGCCAGGCCAGGCTAGGCCAGGCCAGGCGGTGTCTGAGGGCGGTACACACAGCCACAAAGCACTGCCCGTGACTGCCATGGGCCGTGACCACACACTAAATGACCTGTGGCGCACAAGACCAAGTGGAAGAGGTAATAGAGCACGAGTAATGAGTTATTTAACTGACCTTTTGTGTTCAACCTCATGTGTTTGGGTCACCTAATTTTTGCCCCATTGCAGATCACCGCCAACCCCCCCCCCACCCCTCCACCCACCCACCCACCCCTTCCCACACATCATCCCACTACTAAAATCCCTCCTCCTATTGTGGGGGGAGTGGGGGCGGGGGAAAGAGTAAAGTGTATAGTTGCAGAGGAGCCCGACCCCCGGAGTAACGCAGCACAATTGCAGGAGTTGCGCAAAAGGAATTTGACACAGCGCCTGCGAGCGCTCAGGAACAAAAAAAAACAGCGGGTTGCCAGTCCCAGGCAGGTGTAGTGACTGGCGTACTGGCAAAAGCACCCGTTGGTGGCCGGGAGGGCGGGCGGGTACTCGTGCGAACTCACAATGGAGCAGTTTGCAGTCGCAGGAGCGCCCGTCGCTGGCGGTATCGGGGTGGGGGCGCCGTAACCAGCCCCGCGAAGCGAAGCGCGCGGGGGGGGGGTCCCGGCGAAGGTGACGGGGGGCGCCGCGTAGAACGCGAAGATAATAATAATAATTGTTGTTATGATTCATTATGGTTAATTGGTACTGAGTAGTCACGGTGGAGATTTTTCGCAGCCGCGGACAGGACAGGAAGCGGACGTGTGGTGCGCCTGCATTTGTGAAGCACCCACGGGTGGGTGGGTGTAGTGACTGTGCATTTGTGCAAAGCCACAGTGGGGGGGGGAGATATGCAGCCACAGGCCGTGCAAAGTGGGGTGGTGTAATGTGTATGGGGGGGGGGGGGGTGGTGTATGGGGGGGAGGTGGTGTAATGTGTATGAGGGGGTGATGGTGTAGTGTGTGTGTAGGGGGGGTGGGGGGGTGGTGTAATGTGTATGTGGGGGGGGGGATGTGCAGTGTGTATGGAGGGGGGGGTGTGGGGGGGTGTGGTGGTGGTGTATGGGGGGTGGTGGTGTAGTGTGTGTGTGGGGGGGGGGGGGGGAGGGTGTGGGGGGGTGTGGGAGAGGAGG